GAGTGGTGATAGTGGACATCCTTGTCTTGTTCCTGATTTTAGTGTGAAGGATTTCAGTTTTTGACCATTTAGTGTGATATTGGCTGTTGGTTTTTCATAGATGGATTTTATCAGATTGAGGCAGACTGTCTATTCCAATTTTTTGTAGGGTTTTTATCATAAATGCCTGTTGGATTTTGTAGTTCATGATGGTTTCTGAGCATCAGACTGAGAATTCTTGAGACTGCCTCAAGAACATCGTGATGCATGGAATAAAAACTCTTCTGCCCTGCTGGTTTACACTAAAGGATTCAGAGAAAAGAACTAGGGTACCTATGATCAAACGTTTCTTCTCTGGATCTAAGGCCAGCCAATCAGTAAAATAGTCAGTGACTATTCCATCATTTCCATTCTGCACAAAGAAGGAAAAAGAGCCAAAAGCTGACTCGCACATAACATTATGAGAGACCAGAAGTTTTAGAATGTAAAGCTACATGTAGATTTTCACTTTATAATCTAATTCATATTTAATATGTGCTTATAACATGCTCTAACTCCTCCAAATGATCTTCACCACCAGGGCTGCTGATGCCACTCCCACCCAGAGGATGAGGATGAAGACACACAGAAGTAACTTGCCCAAGGTACAAAGAGCCGAACCAGGCTGCTGCGTCTGGCTCCACAATACATGTTCTTAATTTGATGCTGAAAATAAGTTTGTTTTTGATATTCCCTGGAATTATGAAAAAACTACTGGAAATGAAGTGAAGGGCTCATGTATACAATAAAAAGTAAGGAGGGGAAGGGGGAAGCACAGGCTATGTAGTAAAAAGCCTTAGACTTGGTTTCCTATTCTGCTACTAGTTTTTTTTTTTTTTTTTGGGGTACTGGGGATGGAACTCGGGTCCATGCACTTGCGCAGCAGGTGGCAAAACCACTGAGCTAAATCCCTGGCCCTCTATACCAGTTTTGAGAACAGAACATACACTTCTTTGAGTCTCAGTTTCTTCACATATGAGAGAGAATATTACTCTGTAGGGAAATTGTGAGAATTTAAAAAAATACAATGGCTTGAAATACAGTAATAAATGACAGTGATTATTATCACTAACTATTTCATGCTAATAAAATAGCAAAAGCTGTTTTACCTGACAAGTTATTAAACAGGAAATTTTTCTTGCATAGCTAGATAGTACAATGATGGCTAACTCTCAGAAAAATGATTTTCTGAATTTTACTCATCTATAGCTACTAAGAAAAGAAACTGAACATATTAAAACCAAACAGCAGCAAGAACAATAACAAAATAGATAATACAAATCTGAAATATTAAGAAGTGTGAACACCAATCTTTATATAGCTTAAATTTCAAAAACATATACATACAGATTATCTCATTTGATCCTTAAAATCTGAGGCTGATAATCCCCGGTAACAACAACAACAACAAAAATCTGAGGCAGATAAAGCTGAAATTATTCTATCCAGTTTACAAGTGGAGATATCCAAGTGCTGCAAGGTTAAATGGTTTTCCCAAGGCCAAAAGCTAGAGCAGGGTCTAAAATCCAACTTTCCTGAATCTAAGTTCAAAGACTGTGGGAAAGATAACTGATACTGGGAGTGGCAACCTTAACATCAGCCGATGAAATGGTTACTTCTTAGCACGGCCATAAAACTGGACTTCAAGTTTGGACAGTTTTTGAGGAAGCCTTCAGTGAGTCACCTGGACTGTGTGACAGTGTGTGCACAGCATGCAGAGTGCCAGTGCGCTGAGCTGACCATTTAACTCTTACCACACTGGACTCCACACCTGTGGCCTAAGGCTCTTAATTTAGAATTACTTCATTTGACAAAGAGACAGTTATGAAAGCTGCCTCAAGAATGAGAATATTGTGATGCACTGAATAATGCTTTCAGTGACTTTTAAAAAATTGATTTCAGAAGAAAACTTTTAATTCAGTATCAACTCACTTTATCTGGCAAAATGTCAACATGAACTCTCTCTTAACTGGCATTTTCCTGCTTCTACAGTGAATGGAATCTGAAGTTCAGTACAGCATCCCTGAAACACTAAAGGATTCTGCACTGACTTATGAATCACTCCAGATGAAGTTCTATGCAGCAGAGCACACTGCCTCGAGTCTTCATTAAGGTAATGCCTCATTCATCAGACAGCATCATTAACAATGACATCTATTCTGACGAAACCGGATAACAATGACCCATCTTTAAAAGTCCAAATGAGATAATGTTGGAGAAGAACCCATTTCCTCCCAGAGTTCTGTCCTAATTCTCACTTTATTTATAAAAATTTAATGAAATGACATGGTTCAATCATCGTATTATGTCTTAATATATCAGATCAGTCCAAAGAATTCAGTAACAAATGATGTCCTAGGAGATAGCCTTAAAAACAAAACAAAACAAAACAAAAACCATTTAATTTTCCTACAACCTTAACACCAGCAGAGGGGGTTACTGAGTCACACAGCAGTGATGACAGAAGTCACAATCCTCAATTTAAATTAAGCAATCAACAATGGTAGTCTTCACACCAGTGTTTAATTCTTAATTTACAGATGTACATATGAGGTTAAGCGACCTGCCGACATTGTTCAGGAGGATGTGAAGAGTAGCAAATGGGATGGT